TTTCAAACCCTGAATGTTATTTTATTATTTTTCAGTGACATATCCCTATTGGTTGTTTGACAGATTTGTATTTTACACCGACTAGTTTCCATTTTCAATATTCAGTTTTATAGATGATACACTACAAAGTTGCTTTAGTAACCAATTACCTTATAATACAAAACAGGTCGGATAGGTCCAACTGACACCTAACTTTATTTACAGCTTCTTTCACTATTTCTTTGTAGTTACTACATGCCCTGTAAGCCATTAATAGTAATGAGGAGCCCCCCCCCCCCTCATTCTTCTTCCCCCCCCCCTCCGATCTCGATCTCTCTCTCTTATATCAATGACCTAAGTGGCTATTTCATCCGTTTTTTGTCTCATAGTTTAATACTATAGATGCCACCATGTGACTATTGTTGTTGTACTATATTGTATATATATTGTTGGGAGAAGTCGATCATAAGGTGGTAAAGCTTACAGATCAATCCCTTTGACATGTTATTTTGTCAATAAGATATGTTTAAACTCAAACAAAACAGCCACATTTTCCCGTTGATATTGATTACTGTTTTTAATTACAAAGTACATTACCAATTAAAACGGAAAACAAACATAATTAATTCTTCAACTTTTTGTTCAACATTAAACTAAAAATAGACTCTGCTAGAATCAAAATGCATCACAGAACTGTTGCCGCCTCCTTTGACGCGTTAGCGAAGCTAAATGCCAAACCTGTTGGGGCGACACAGGAGTTATCTCCCATATACAGCTAAGCGAAATGTAGTAGATGGGAGAGAACTCTGCTCGGATTATCGCAAAACAACATATAGTCTCTTGCGGTGCTTGCCTAGCTTGACCAAGATTAAACCTGCAATACACTTTTCTCCGTTCGACAAATCAGAAATAAATATATTTGTTTATCCAGCAAGGAAAAGAGACCGTCATCAACATTGCAGTCAATGCCCTACACAGTTCTAATATTGATAGGCATCGAGCATGTGTTGTTTGCTGTCTGTTGGTTGTGATATTGTAGCTTGATAAAAGTCATGACTGGTATGACAGAGAAATATAAACAAGATGTTCAAATTCCTGTTGCGTAAATATTGTTACAATAAAACGAGCATTTTAAGTAGTTACCTCATTCATCCTTGCCATCGTAAACAAAGGAATTTCGAGATAAATTTTAGAACAAACAATGAAAAGTTCTTTGCGGAGAGTGCCAACATCTCTGAAGCTACAAAAAGCATTGTAACAACGAAGGACGCTTAAACATGAATGAGTACTGAGACAAGATATCGCATTGAGAAAACAATGGGCCTTTGTCTCCTCAAGACAAAAAAGGTACCAGGACAACATATGGCATTGATAAAACATATAACACTTAGACTACAGGAGCAGTTCGACATGGGAGGACGTTTAGACTACAAGGAGTGCTTAGACTACAAAGGGCAATGGAGTGAAAAGAGCGCTTAGACTACAAGAAAAAGCACTGAGATAATAAAGAGCGCTTCCAAAACAACAAAGAGCGCTGAGACAGCAATTAGTGTCCAGTCTATAAAGGGCAATAGAGTGAAAAAGAGCGCTTAGACTCCAAGAAAAAGCGCTGAGATGATAAAGAGATGAGCGCTTTCAAGACAATAGAGAGCACTGAAACAGCAAAGTGTGCACAGACTACAACGGGGACTGAGCCAACAAACAGCGTGTAGACCACAAAAAGGGCTTAAACTATCAAAAGCGCTGTGATAAGAAAATGTGCTTCTCAACACAAGAAAGAAGGTTGAGACGGTAAAGAGAGCGAGGAAATTTGGTATGGCTTAAAACAACCTTTAACAAATCAAGATGAGGTTAACTAACAAATGACTCTGATAATCTATTTGTCGTCCGTTCAGCATTAACATAACCAAAAGTCACATGCTGGTGTGAATGGCTTTCAAGTACTTTTAAGGTCATGGTGGATAAATGTATTAAAATGTTTAAACAACTTCTGCTGGTTACCAAAAGACTTTCGACTTTGAACTTGAACCACCTTCAATGGCACATGGGTCAGATCTATCAGTGCGTTCAGTGTGTGCTTGTCCCACGTTTGGATAAGGGGCCATCAAGTTTGTCTAAATTCACCCTATACCTTCGAGAAACGGCGTTACATTGATTCGGATCAGATAATTAGTCGACCTCAGCCGCTGAGAACAAATCTACAACGATTACCACTATATTCCATGACTGTCGTTAATGTATAAACAACATACTCTATAGATATGTGTTGTACTGAAAATTCTGTACTAGAATTAATCCTTCATTACTGCATATATAAGTAAAACATAATAAACATAGAGACGTGTATAAATGTAGATTTACAAATTTGTCAGAAATATTACTGTATTTGTAAAAATTGAATACACCTTTAAAATCTTACGATACGTAATCGACAGTATAATACATGTTATCACATAATCCGGCTGTATACAGAGATGGAAATATTCCATGTAATAATTTGTACCTAATACTATTGCTGATTATTCTGGCAATAAAATATGTTTTAACAGAGAAAAAAAATTGTAGAACAGAAGCTAGCGCCATTTTTGTAGAAGAGGGAACCATCTAAACGTACAGGTAAACTTCATATGGATAAGTATCAATATTGAAAGTGTCCCTATTCTGTTGTCTCAGTACGCAGATGATACATCTTTAATTCTTGACGAATCAGGAAAAGACTTAAAAGAATAAATATTTCAGCTTAAGAATTAGCCAAAGTGTCTAGTTTAAAGATAAATATTGATAAACCCGAAGGTATGGATTCGGAACAAAAAATACAGCAGCAGATGTTTTTTTACCTGAACTCAATTTACACTGGGGTGGAGAAAGATCTGTATTGTTAGTAGAATTAAGTGTGAATATGCTTGAAATCTCAAAGTTAATTTTTGATAAAGAAATCACCAAATTAAAATCCCTAATAGAAAATAATGATTTGATGAAAGGCGCGGATACTGACCTATTTCACTCATTAGATGTATTTATTGAGAAATATAGAGCAACCACTAATTTTTTAGTATCTTGATATTGTCTCAGCTGTAAAAAAATATATATTTCCTCATACAATATACATAGCATAATTAACATAACTTACCCTTACATACCAATTAATCTATAACTCTTCTTCAGAGACAAAAAAAAATTTAAATTATTCTGTAATCTTTTAAATAAATCGGAACTGATTCCGTCAGGCACCAAAAATAAACACATTGTTAAATAATATTGACCACTTATCATGGACTAGATATTACTGAAAGCCATTCTAGGTGACAAACAGTACAAAACGTCAATGGTTCCTGCATAGAGTAATTCACCATATCTTGGTTACTAATTCTTTCCTTTTCAAGTTAAGAATAGTTATCTCCCCTGCCTGAGTTTTCTGTAATACCGAACTGAGACAAGTACTCATCTTTTATGGGAGTGTCAGGAAGTTCAAAACTTACTTCCGGAGTGCCTCGAAATATTGTTTGAAGCCATATTAATCTCATTCTCGGTAAAACAAAAAATCCTTCATTTTTGACTTCCTGTATCGAACCTCTTTCCCAGTAATCGTGTTGACAAACGAAATTGTCATAATCATAAAACGGCATTTTTACAGGATGAGACACTTTCACAACTCAGTGATAGAAATGATCTCATAAACACAACCATAGATAATCATCCAGAGATATATTGTAAATGATAAAGAGGACTAAGAAAACAAAAGATTTGTAAACGAATATTCAAAATGGGAAAAAATACTTTACTTATAGCCATTTATGATAAAAAGTTAATTTTCCACAATATAGTCCTAATTTTTACTAAAAACTTCATTTAAGCCCCTGTCCGACCCGAAAAAAAACCCAGGTAGATATCAAATACATGTTATAAATATACGACAGACTATCAAATTTCATAATACCTCCTTTTTAAAAAGTCTGCCTTCTGGTCCCGGTCATTCTCTCTCTCTCTCTCCCCGCCCCTCCGCCCCTCCCCCCCCCCCCCTTCTCTCTCTCTCTCTCTGATGATGATGATGATGATGATGTGAGTGAGTGAATATATGTGTACTTGTGGTGTGTAATATCTTTTAAAAAATCCACATTGACACAGTTATTGAAGAGATGGAAGAATGGAAGCACCAGAGAGAAGGAAAATAGCAAGGAGCTGATTGGGAACAGCGAAAGATGGCGGATGTTACGAAATAGACTCAACTTCTTGGGTTATCAGCCGAGGGAAACGGCAAGACCAATCATTGTAGTCTTGGACAGCCTAGGTACAAAGAAAGCGCTATTTAGAAACACCTGCCATTTGATGAACTAGCCATTTTCCAAAGCTCACATCTGGTATGATCATCTTACAAGACACCAAAATGAGGACGAAAAGTAAAGATGAAGCAAAACGAAAACAGGACATTCGAGACGGATAATGGATTTGTTTACAGGGTCCGTGGACTACCCTGAAAAAGGCAGATTAAACGTATACGTGTACTATAGATTATATCATTTTAATAAAAAGACAGAAAAGCTTGAAAAATATGCTATTAAGTGAAAACTATATATATAGGCCCAATATACAATCAACTATGATCTTTGTGTAATATCTAGGCACGGACTTGGAATAGATTTATTTTAGTCCGTGATCTAGATCTTTGATTCATTGAAATAGTTTATACGTCATGAATTTACGTAGTTGAATTAATACTATTATTAGTTGCCTTGTATTGGCGCTTTGAAATGTACAGATAAGTTATCTCATTTTCCAAGTAGTATAATTTGCAGAAGTGTTGATAAGATGTTTGAGGCAGTGTGTGCTACTCGTCAGCCAACTTGTGCGCACGCGAGTTCGAGAAAGTCGCAATCGAACGCACCTGGTAACCTTTACGGGATCCTCGATCCCAGGCGTCGTTGTTGACACATCGAAATAACTGCACAAGTTTATTATGTGCGTTGATTGTATTTATTGCATGTATGGGACTATTCAATTGGCATCATTTTTTTGTTTTCAATTTATTGAAAAGTCTTCAGAAATGCTTGAAAAAATACAATCCACTAAAATGTGAACCTACAATGGGAGCGAGACTGTTTGCGAGTTGACAAACATGGCGGCCGAGAGTGATAAGTGCGACTTCCTCTGAGGTTAGCTGTGGTCGACTTGCGGAGTCAGAAAACTACTCGTCTCTAGGGCTTGCTACTTAGACGCTATTTCCCAAAAGTCTAATCAGGAGTGGAGATAAGATTCAGACACCGCAGGAGTAGACAGCATCACGCATGTCCTACCCTGTCTCCCCCTCACAGAAGGACGATCATCAACTGAACCGGAAGTAACATTACACATTTTTTGTCAGTTTTCGACAGCGGCCCTATCTCCCGTCAAGATAACCATTTCATGCAAAACTACACGCAGAGAGTAATGGAAGATTTAGGTAAGTCAAATTTATCACACATTAAAGTTAACAATGAACTGAAGTTACAGGCGAGGTCACTCTGAGTGCGATAAATTTTGGTCATTACAACCATTTGGTAGTTGGATATTTCCAAAACTTTTAACACCCATTGCCTCTGTTGACAGGTGTGGTGTGCATACAGCAAACACAATTTAGTTAGCGGGGTGCCAGTATTAAGTCGGTATTCTTAATTGGCATAATTACACGTGGCTCACCAAAACTGAACTGAAAAAGTTTACTAGTTGAACTTCATTTACCTAAAAGTTGATGTTCAATTGTTGAAATGAAATAGATAATCATACCTAGTCCAACATGACTTAAAGAGAAGTTGGTCCATTCTCAGTGAAAATAATGAATTTATCCCCTGTATGATTTTCTAAGAACAATGGAACAAATGTAAGATATATGTAACAAGTCTGAGTACAGGTTGAGAGGTTTGGCAGGTACAGGTTGGAATGGGTATGATTTGTCCAGTTTCTGATGAAATCCATTGCTGAATCTCAACCCCATCCCCCATCCACCTTCTTAAGGAACTGAACTGACATTTGTTATGATAACATAATTTCTCTATTTTCGAAGGCTGTAAAGGTATCAGATGCAGTTGTAGTTAAATGCTGTCTGTGATGATATCTAAGTAAAGCAATGGTGGCCAATCAAAATTTTGTTTGGCGTTTAGCTGATACCCCAGATACATTTTAATACATTTGGTATTTCTGTGGCCTAAAAATTGTCATTGATTTGGTTTCGTTGACATGATTTACTTACTTGCCTGACGTATAATTAATTTAGTACTTTTCACATCATCTGCTCACCAACAGAATTTGTTGATAAATGATACAGCAAAGAGATGCTTTTACTTTTCGGTAGGGCAGTGTCTGAAACCACATTGTGTTGGCTCAAGCATATAAATTGTTTTATAGGGGTAGTCTGACAAGTTAGGATTTCATAAGATTCTATTTGAAGAATATTGTACAAAGCTTTCTTCTTATGTTCTTACAGAAACCATAATCCTCTATTTACCATTTAAATAAACATATGATATTTGATTAAAAAAAATGCCTAGCTAGGTTGATTTACAAACCTTCCTGTTTAAATCAACAGAAAATAAGCCTAATGAAGTAATAAAATTGCAACCAAGCAGAAATTAAGTGAACATTCAATACGCTGCATAAAACCTATGATCCTTTGATGTAGTGATGCTTCAGTTCTGGATTTCCTGATGTGCTATATTTAGACAGTTAAAATGATATTGGCAAACTGACCACAGGTGAGATACTTTGATGCTTAATTTTAAAAGTCTTTAGAATGAATTCTCAAAAGGTACAGAATAACCAGAAAATTTTGCAGCACAGGCAGAATATCCCTTTAAACTCTGAAATGATTGTTTTATTATTTTATTGGCTAGAGATTCGCTAAGAATTCTGCATCTCTGGCTACATGAAAAAAAACCCCACTGGTATGGCCAACCTCAGTATGCATGGTAGATACAGCACCAGTAATGTTTATTTGAAGTGGTACTATAAATTGCCATTAAATCTGGTATAATACCTCATATTGAGTAAACAAACAAAAAAATGTGCTGTACGGGTAAATTTGGGTATTTTCACAGAGTCCACAGTTGAAGCTACTTTTTCTTTATTAAAAAGTGTATTACCCATTTTGTCACTCCAAAAATGAAAAGAAAATTTGCAATATTTTAACAATTTTGAAGAAATTTCCCCAATTTCCATATTTAAAGGGATATAGACATCTGTTATATTCAGGTTAAAATAAACAAACAAAAACAAGAAATAACAGGGATCCCAGGAATCAGTGCAAGGATAGATAAGAGCAAGTATATTTTAATGTTACCAGTAAGTGTTGTCTGCTTGACAAGTAGGTAAATTCCATATAATGTCATATCCTCCAAATGAGAACTGAGGTACTGACATAGAAATATAAAAGACGCAATAATAAATCTTCATATGTCTGTATTGGTCCATTTACTAGTATATGTCATGATGAGAACATGAACACTGATAATTCAGTGAGACAGATGGGATGAGTTGACTAGAAAATCATTTTAAAAACCTTGCTTTGTATCAATCAAGATTTAAGAGATTTAGCATCTGGTACTTCAATCTATTAGATACATACTGTGAATTATTTTGAATGCAATACTCCTTCTGTAAGTGTTTATTAAATTAGTTGAAGCCAGACATTAGAAATGTACTTTAATATTTCAAGCATGTCAGGGGCCACTTTTAATTTCTTCAATCTGTATGTTACTGGTGAATTACGTTTTGTTTGTTGTGATGCCAAACCCCTGTTTAAACAATAGAACATTACTGGATTTTAACTGACATTTTATATTAGTACAGCTAATGTTTGGCATCATGATTTAAAATGCAGAAAGAAAAATGATTTATTCACAATTACAAGCATGTATCACATTGTGTAAATGATGTGTTAAGGAAGTATGTATTTATTTCCTCTGTAGCTATAAACTGGCTTGTATGGTCAGGATAATGTGTGCATTCACTAGATGATAAAATGATGGATATATATGATTACAGTCTATTGAAGTTCACTGAAGGTGAAGCTACATGCCATTATTTAACAATAAAATTTATCAGTTGTTTAGTAATTTGATGGCACATGGTTATTTAACAGTAGCTGTGTCTGTGTGTGTGACGAGCCATACATGTTAATACATAATTTACATACATAATTTGATTATACTTTCTACAAGCATTGTTATGTTTTATGTGATAACTTCAAAATCAATTTGTTCTTTTTTCTTTCTTTTGGTAATGATTGATGATATGAATGTTCAAGTTCAGTTATCAGTTTATCAAAAGTGTACCCATAACAATAATCTTTGTATACTATTATAAGTGTTTGTTTATGTGTCATGTAAGTAACATATGACTCCTGACACATGAGGTGGTTTTTGCTCTCTTTATTTCTAAATATACCGTTCATATTTCTAAACCGGTTCAGTTTTAAAGTGCAAACATCAGGCATAATGTAAAAGAAACTATGGGTTAGTTAAAAAAGTAGCACAAAATTAATGAAATTAAACAGCCTGCCCCCTGTCTACCAGTAATATGATAAAATAGCAAGACCAAGGATAGAATTTTGTACTAAAAATTGTTCAAGAATGATTATTTCTTGTTAAATAGTAAGAAAAAATTTAAAATAGTGTATAACATTGCAGTGTTGAAACACATGAGCATAAATCACATTCTTCTGATACTATGTTGATCATTTGATTGGGTCATGGACTTTCTGAAGAATAATATGTAAAAATATTGTTTCTTGTTGCTTGTGTTATTAGCAAGTTCATATTTAGAATAGCTTTAACTTCCTTAATTTTTTTATAATATTCTAAAAGAGAAGACAAAATATTTTCTACATATTCTCACATTCGAAATAGAAATGAAATATGGACAAGTATGCTGTTAGCATGCACAGAGTTTACAAGGTTATCGCCCCTGTATGGCCTATCACACACACAGCGGCAAAGAAGACTCGTCATATTACGATACTGTGACGACCAGGTAGACCATCCATCATAACGCCTGGTAAACCAACACCCCGCCTGACAGGCCATCTTCTCTCCTAGGATACATAACAATAGATCTGCCGGCCACTGAAACACTTAGACACAATAACAAAGAATACGGTAAATGTTCGTGCTCATTTATTTGTCTTTATCATGTAAAGAGTATTAATAAATGCAATATTCAGGTTATGATAGCTTAGTATATATTCATTATAGGAGAATATTGATTAAATACCATAAGAAGACCAAGCTTTTCTGCATAACAAAGCATAAAATTCAGGTTATTTATTGTGGGATTAAGCAGAGAGAAGGTAATAAGCTACTTTAAGCATTATGTTAGAGAGTTGGAATGACTTTCTGGTAGAGGTGTCAAGCTCATTACTGTTAGAATATTAAGTATTGCAGGTCTTAAGACAGAAACATCATCAGTATGCAAGCAAAACATTATATATGATTATTATTAGGAGATTGCATTAAAAGGTACTGGAGATCTGATACCTGAATGTTTAGAGCTGCCAATAAGAGATCAGGTGTCTGTTCTAAACCTGACATCTTTATTATTGTTATAATACTTGTTGATCTTTTTATTTTACATTGTACATTCCAAAAGTCCAATACATAATCTAGCAATATTTTTTAAATAATGACCTAGTCTGGTTTTTTTCCAGATTTAGGAGTGTTATTACATTGCACAATTTAATACTGAAACTTCATCATTTATGAAAAAAATACAAAGATTTCCATGCAACATGGTTTAATGAATTAAATTGATATTATAATCAGAAAAAAAAAATCATTTTTTTTTTTACAATATTATTGTTTAGTCTACTTATTTATGTAGATCAACATTGTATGGTATTTACGATAGAGATTTACATGTTATGGAGTAATATTGATAGACGGTAATATAACAAGGTGTCAGAGTTCCTGCAGGAACAATCTTATTCATTGATGATACTATTTAGTTTCTACTCTCAGTGTTTAGAAAAAACTGACAGAGGAAACATTTTATTGAGAACAATCTACACAAAAGGCCAACATACAGAATCTTTCCTTCATTCTTGGAGACTGGATGTCTAGTACTTATCTAACAGTTGTCAAACTTGTTGAAGATATTTGAAAAAAAATGATTACAGACTTAAAAAAGCACACTAGTATTTAAACTGACATTTTGTGTTGGGTCCTGTTTATGCAGTTGTGTGGCTACATGATAGTTTTAATGTGAGGATTCGATGAGTTGATTGCAAAATTTTGTGCAGATAAGAGAACTATTTGAAGACTTGTGCTATATCTGCTACCATCTTGGGTAAGTCTAATGATATTTCTATCAGTACACCAGGTGTTTTCAGTAATCACTTTCACACATTTGAGTTAGACCCATTTCTCTGAGTTTCATATTTTAGTTGAGATGTTTCAGAAAAATATGTATACA